GGAGGGTCAGGAGCACTTTGTCCCTCTCAGTTTTCTGTCTTCTCCCTTACTCCCCCCATGCCCAGCCACCGGCTTGGGGGCAGGGGGCAGGCAGCCCGAGGTCCACTCACTGGTTCCCTCTCTTCACCCACCTCACTTCCTCTTTGCCTGGCAGCTTTTTAGCTTTTACCTCTGGGCCTGGACTCACCACCCCTAGCAACGCCTTCCTCCCCACCCAGCCCTTCCCTAAGCAGCTCCAATCCTGCTTCCTCCATCAAATCCTTCCACATACCGACTCCTTCACCATGACTGAATGCAGTTGCCAAATAAAGGCCACCCAAAGATATCAGGTCCTAATCATTGGAACCTGTAAACACTACCTTATTTGGAACAAAGGCCTTTGCAGATGTGGTTAAGTTTCTCGAGATGAGGACAGATCGTCCTGGGTTATCCTGGTGGGCCCTAAATGCCATCACCAATGTCGTATAAAGGAGAAGCAGAGGGAGATTTGAATAGACAGACACAGAAGAGAAGGCAACGTGAAGATGGAGGCAGATACTGTGATTCCACTTACATGAGGTACCTGGAGTAGTCGAACTTACAGAGACAGAAAATTGAATGGTGATTGCCAGGGGCTGGGGAGGAGGGAATGGGGAGTTATTGTTTGATGGGTACAGAGTTTCAGTTTGAGGAGATGAAAAGGTTCTGGAGATGGATAGTGGTGATGGTAGCACAACATTGTGGATATACTTAATGCCACTGAACTGTACACTTAATGGTTAAAATGGTAAGTTTTATGTTATGTATTTTTTACCACACATGTACAAAGATGGAGGCAGAGATTGGAGTGATGCAGACACAAGCTAAGGAATGCTGGCAGCCACCAGAAACTGGAAGAGGCAAGGAAGGATCCTCCCCTAGCACGTCAGTAGTGCTGCCCTGCTGACGCTTCGAAACTGATTTTGGACTTCTGCCTTCCAGAACTGTGAAAGAATAGATTTCTGTTGTTTAAAGCCACTGAATTTGTGGTACTTTGTTATAGCAACCACAGGAAGCTAATATACTAGATCAACAGCCTGCTTCCCTGGGCTTTCTACAGTTGAGCTTGCAATAAGGAAAAGGAAAGGGAAAAGGAGAGAAAATCACAGCAGCCCTCTCAGTCTCTCACCTTTGCCTTCTCATTGTCAATGAGGCCCCTTCACCGTAATCTCAGTTGGACCTTGTACGGTGATACTGTCTTTGACATTTAAGCCATTTTGCAGATGTTCAAAGGGAGGGTCATGGATGTCAAGTGAGGTGTCCATAGTCTGCTGCTGGTTGATGGCTGAGCTGAGATTCAAACTAGTCATGTGGGTCCCTTCCCCAGGCACCTTCCCAAACTCATGACCCCTGCAGCTAGACTGATTTTGCTGTGTGACAAGAGTTCAGGAGCTGGCCATCCCACCATGGGATCCCTTGCCAAGAAGCACAGTTGGCCAGTGAAAGGTGGACACTGCACATTTGGAGCCTGCTGGGAAGGAGTTCCTGGGCTGGCAGGAGTAGGTGGGACTCCTGTGGGATCTGGACATATGAGTAGTGTGGAGCGAGGCAGAGAAGAGGAGACAGAACAGTTCTCACTTAGTGATGAGTCATTACCCTCCAAATCCTGAGTCCCTCCCCTGCCATCTGTAGATATTAGCTTAGCGACCTCAGAGTCATTGGAATATTTATTCTTCTCCTAACTGTCAGGTTTAGCCATGCATCTGTGGGCGCCTGGCCTTTCAAACTTAGGACTCCAATCTGGTCATGGATTGTGAACCTATGTGGACTCAGGTGGGGTCTCCTTCTCATTCTCAGGCCTGTCTTTCCTCATCAGCCTCATCTTCTTCCACGGCCTGGCTGTTTGGCCAGCTTTCTTCTTTCTCTGGGGTTCTGGCAATAAGGTCCCTTTCAGTGACCAGATCCCGGTTTTGGTTGGCACCAGTGAGAGCAGGAGAGAGGCCAACAGGATCCTTACCAATGAGCAGTGACCCGGCAGCTCTGACCAGCTGTGGGGGGCAGGCGGTACATCACACCATGTTCCCCTGAAAGCATCTGTTCAAGGGAAATGAGTTTTTTTTTTTTTTAAAAATTAGGTTGTACATGATTTTTTAAAAGATGTATAACGTGATGATTTAATATATGCATACAGTGTGATTGCCACAAGTTCACTAACACATCTATCACCTCATAGTTACCATTTTGTGTCTTTTTTTGTGGTGAGAACACTTAAGATCCACTCTCTTAGCAATGTTCAAGTATACAATACAGTATTGTTAACTATAATCACCATGCTGTCATTGGATCTCTAGAACTTATTCATCTTAAAACTGAAAGTTTGTACCCCTTGACCAACATCTCCCCATTTCCTCCACCCCCAGCCCCCGGCAACCACCATTCTACTCTCTGGTTTATGAGTTCCATTTTTTTAGATTCCACATATAAGTGAGATCATACAGTATTTGTCTTTCTGTGTTTGGCTTATTTCACTTAGCATAATGTCCTTCAGCTTCATCCATAGTGCAAATGGCAGGATTTCCTTCTTTTTATGGCTGAATAATATTCCATTGTGTATGTATGTATATATATAAATATCACATTTATTACATTATATGTGATATATCACAAATATATCACATTTTCTTAATCTATTCATCTGTTGATGAACACTTAAGTTGTTTCCGTTATCTTGACTATTGTGAACAATGTTTCAGTGACCATGAGAGTGCTGATATCTCTTTGAGATACTGATTTCATTTCCTTTGGATATATACCAGAAGTGAGATTGCTGGATCATATGGTAGCTCTATTTTTAATTTTTTGAGGAACCTCCATACATTTTCTTGGGTTTAAATTATACTTTTGGAAGAGACCAATGAGGAAGAGAAGTTGCAAAAGGGTCTCAGGCAGCCTGGAGATGGCCGTGGTGGGGGGTTACTTGCTGATGACATGCTTTTCATTTATTTTTAGCCCCATCTGGTCCCTCCCTATACATTGTAGACACCTTCCCCCGTCCATGCTTGCCTTCTCCTGGTATGTCCCTCACTCCCACGTTACTTGGCTCTCTCCTTCTCTTTCAGGGCCCTGCTCAAACCAGACCTTTCCCAGGCCTTCCCTCAACCTCATCTCATCCCCAGGTCAAAGTCCTTGCTAGCCATTTGAAGCATCAGTTCTTCTCTTTCAAAGCACATATCACAATTTTATGGGTATTTGTCTCATCTTTGTTGATGGTCTGTCTCCTCCACTGGCCTGGAAGCCCTGGAGGGCAAGAACCCTGTGAGTCTTATTCACAGCTGTATCCCCAGGGTTGGTGTACATGACCTGGCACATAGAAGCTGCTCTTTTGTTGCAAGAATGAATGAATGAATGGACTTTTTGGTCTCTCCCTGGCCACCATCCCTTTCCTTCTCTGGCTACCCAGGTTCTGCTGTCCTAGAAAGATCAAGGGATGGCTCTGTCCCTCTTTGAAGTCCTTTAGCTCTTCCAGTCCTCCCTCCTGCTCACTTTTGAGGTTTGCTCATTTCCACAGACTTCACTTTTGGAACTTGGCATGGGCTGGCTGCCTGCTGCTGGGGGTTCAGGGCTGAACTTTTCCTGTGGGTGGGCTCACTTCAGACCAGACCAGAAGTTCCCTGAAGGCAGGGACTCTGTTTGGCACAGAGCCAGGTGAAAATGCTTTGCTGAATGTGGGAATGAATGGTCACGGATGGAAGATGAGTTGTTCCAACCTGCGGCTGACAGCTGAGCTCTAAGTCTTCAGAGGCATCCATAGCAAAGAGCCCCTGCTTCCAGGTTCCCCAGAAGAGGAATTCCTGCTCCCTATGGGCAGGCGTTATTATGGGTCCTGGACATAGCCTTATACAGTTTACAGTCCTGGGATGGGTGGGGGGAAATGGAGAAGACTGCAGCACTGAAGAGGCAGGAGGGGAGTGGACCTCAGAGGTAGCGAGGTGTAAAGGAACAGGCTGCTGGCATTTGGGCTGTAGATGGTTATCTGGTGGTGGCAGGGAGGTCCTCAGGCAGAACAGCCTCCTGGCAGGGTTTGTGTGGTCCTTCCCCCTCACTGCACCTCATCAATCGAGCAAGGCTCACCTTTCCAAAAGTGGCTGCTCTGTAGCCTCCAGCACCAGCCCCTGAGTGCATCCCCTAACCCTCCTCTGAACTAGGCCTGCCCTGGCCTGGGCTGCAGGGCCACCTCTGGCACTGGCTCACTGTGTGACCTTGGGTGAGTCAGGTCTCCTCTGTCAGCCTTCTTTGTTCTGAACCCTAACTTTCAGCTTAGACGTGTGTTTCCAGATGGGCAGGCTGAGTCCCCAGGAAGGGTTGGGGTTTGATGAGCTCCTTGGAAGGGATTCTTCCCTGCCACCTTCCTCGAAAGGGCTCCAAATCTCATTACTGGGTGAGGCACAGGGCAAGGAAATAGCTCCCAGTGGGATCCCCTCTACCAATCTCAGTTTCTTCCTCCTTACAATGGGGGTAACAGTGCCCCTGGGGCTGCAGGCTGTAGAGGGGGAGTCAGAAAGGTGGGTGGCCACCCTTGTGGCCAAGAGATTGTGATTGTGCTGAATTTTGCCAGCAACCTCAGGTCTTCCCCAGAATGTTCTCCGTGGAGACCAAGAACTCCGTGGCGGATTCCTGAGAACAGTTCTGCACCCATTCTGCACACGGAGAAGCCAGGTCTGCAGAAGGCGTGGG